TTATTACAAAAAAGTTACCATAAAAATTTACATTAAACCGGCTATTAAAAGAATAACCCACCAACTTATTATTTATTAAAAAAAAAAACTTAATTCTAAAATTAATTTATCGTTTTTATAACATGTTTAAATTCTACAATAAAAAGCTGAGAATCATAAACTTCTTAACCTGTTTTGAATGACAACAATTTTCATATATTTATGTATATGAAGGTACATTCATCGTTCTTGTATTTAATAAGATTTTATCCCATATTACGTATAGCACACGAATTTTATACTTCAAGGTCATTTGAAATATTTCCTTTACTTTATGGTGTTAAGAAACAAAAAAAAAGAGAAATAAAAATAAATACCGTTTTATAAAGCACAAAGAGTGAATGTAAATGCATGTATGTATACTTAGTTTGGCTCCTAAGTTTTCTGTTATTAAAATAAACTTTTCAAAGTTAATATTCAAAAAACGGATAAAAAACATTATTCTACTTTCTTTTGACTAAAATGTCACATGACAAAAATTACGATTAATTTTGATATTACATATGTATTTATTGTCATGAATCATATATTTATTGCTATATGTGGGGGTTTTCGTTCTAGCACTCTGCGCAGAAAGTTCTACACTAAAACTTAAATTTCTAAACCGCAACGTTCAACAGAATGCAATAACTTCAAACGATCTACATAATATCTTCTGTGCAGTGTACAATTTTCGAACGTGCTACAAGTTCGAATTAACTACTCCAGAACTGAATTAACGAAAGCTTCCTGTTATTATAATAATTATAAATTACATAGAAGTAATCATAGAATTAAAAAAATTAGAAAAATAAATTTCGAAATGCACTTAAGACCTTCTTCTTTACGACGCGCATTCTTAAATGCGCAATAGATTCAATTATCAATTTAATATTAATGTGATTTAAATTTCTCTTACACAATAACATTGTCAAAGCGAATATTACCCCCGTTATTATTTATAATTTGGACATTTTACTGCGCATATATTATAATATTATTAATGGCCATTCAAATAACAATTTTGTAAGAAAATGCAAAATCTAACATAATTATTATACTGAACAGTAATAATCAAATATATTTTCATTTTAATTATTCTATTTTTAGAAATGACGTAATATCAGACAAACTAGCCAAGTATATTACTGTGTTTCAAATTCTATAACAGAGCAGCGGATTTTGAAATTTATGATATACTTTCTCTTATCTTTTAAATTTAAATGAAAATGCCGCCTTTATGTAACTAATTCGAATTGAATGCTATGTGTATGTCATCAATTTTATTAAGAAATACAAGGAATTTATAAGTATGTATATAGTAATACAAACCCGTTATTAGTAATATAGCAAAAACCGTTATGGCTAAAATATACAATTTGAAAAAAAAAAAACCCTTGTACACAAATACCGCATACACGTTTATTATTTATCGCGAACAATAAATTATTTGGGCTTTAAAATTTATAGCCCAATATTTTATCCATATGATATTATCAACTACATATTATGTACTTTATCACGAATTCAACTCCAGGAAAAATTACTTAAACACTGCAATATTTATATACATAATCAAACTATTAAGACAAATTTATTATTTTATAATATTTATTACAATGTTAATGTAAATATTTACAAATATTTGAAGAATAAAAACAAAAAAAATTCAATATTAAATATGACAAGGATCTTATAGTATAATGCTTTAAAAAATTATATGTTAGAAGTTAGAACATTTTTCTGATTATACTTTTAATAATATGGTTAAGCTTTCGTATAAATTTTCCCTATATTACATGAAATTTAATACCCTATAGCCTATAGATTATATAAAATATAATCTTTCAAGAGGATAATCAACAGTTTGTTATTAATTGAGATTACTTATACGGCATATAATAAATTTACCGTTATGTAAAAATTGTCATTATGAAAAAGTATTAAGTTGTGATTATTAACATGAGAGCAATAATATGAGAGGAAATTTTTATTTGTTTGGTTAGAAAATCAGTTTTTATAACATCAACAAATCGCGTTAGATATTTTCGGAGTATGTATATGGTATTGGTAAATTTTTAGTCTCTGAAATAGTATGATCTGATTTCTTCTGGAAATAATTCGTTAATTTACATTTCGAAAAATATGAAAATACCCTCCTGCAAAAGTACAATTGTTGAAATACACGGTGCGTTGATAAATTCATCACATCTATAAAATAACTTTAAGTATAAATTTTTTCATATAAATCAATTTAGATAAATGTTTTTCCAACACTGGTATACACTTTTATTAAAATTCCAACATTTAAAATGCATTGCAGTTATTTTTGCATTTAGAATATCATGCTGACTATTTCCAGGTAATATTCTTTATCTACATATAGGTATGTGTACATTTGTGTCCTATAGTACTTTTATAATAATGACCAATACTATTATATTGTACATACATATATATACAGAATAATACAATTTTTACTGATTTTTTTTGTATAATATTTATCACATACCTACTTGTATATTACAAAATCTACATAAATTAGTGCAGATATCAGTTAAACTTGTGTTACTGCCCCACATGATTTTTAATATTATATTATAACTACAGTGTACATACATATGTATTTATATGTACCCACATATGTTAAGTATCTTATTTAAAACTTGTTCGCTTTTATCTTTTATTGCGGATATACCCACAAAATATGACATTGAAATTTTTTTTATCTATAGTTGTAGTTATTGATGTAAATCTGTACATATTTTACAATATGTATTGCATAAAAGTATATATTATACTGTAGTATATACAATAATTTACAAAACATATACTGATTATATTTTATCTTACTTAACAGCATGTACAGTTAAAATTTCATAAATTTGAAAAGAAAATTGAGTTCGCTTTCATATTTTTTGAATTTCTAAAAACATTTACAATGCAAAACTAATGCATGACTGCTTAATATTTTTGAATCAGTTCAGTGACTTTTAGGATTCTCTTTAATAATGTACCGAAGTAATTTTAGCAGTTTTTGTATAAAATGTTGCAATTTTTCTTGATACACACACACATAATATGTATGCATTTTTAACGTAAAGTGTGTACATAATATGCATTGTATATGTATGTATGTATGTATGTATTTATATGAAAAAAAATTAAAAAAAAAAATGGAAAATTAGATACCCTGATACTTTTTAATACTTTACAACAAGTAAAGGTTTCGAAATATATACCTAGATGTATTGATAGATAAGTTTTAATAAATCTAAATTAAGGCAGATATACATACATATTTATATTTTCAGTAAAGATAGGTTAAATGACAAATTTTGGTAATACACGCACTGGAAATTCAAATGTATGTACGTATGCATTTTTAAATTTTATAGACTTGTATAAGAGTAGGTACTTATCATAAGATAAGTCAAATGCAAGTTTATGAATATTTATGATTGTGCTAAAAAAATCTGTGCTAAAACTTTTTCTCTTTCATTTATTTGCTATGTATATATATATATATATATATATGTATGTATATACAATCAGACAATCAAGTACAGTATAACACAGTTAAGTGGAAATCGATCACCTAATAAGATTTTGATCACCAAAGCGGGTTTCCGACTTACATATATCAATGAATTCAATTTAAAAATTCTCTCCAATATTAAAAAAATAAATTTATACAATAAAAAATATTAAAATTATAAATTAAAACTTAATATTTTAAGTTTTACTTTTACTTTTCAGATAATACTATTATTATAAATGCTTATTGTATTTATCTTCACCAAGCTGAAATTAGTTTCCTAAGTATTTCGAAGTAATTAAATTTACAAAAGCAATTGAAATTTTTTCTTTTTGTTAAATTTTTTAGTACCTACATATATACTTGTACTCTCATTTAATTTGTATGTTTTCAAAAGCCGTCTAGATTATTAACCACTTTTTTTTTATTAATTTTCCTAATTAGAACACAAAAATAATTGAAGTCCTACTGGTAACACTTTAATGTGACCCACTGAGTCTTATTTCGCTTTACGCACATAAGTTAACGCAAAAGCCGGTTCTTGAATATTAAGATTTTTGTGTGTGATAGATAGACGTGAAAGCAATGGTTTTTTTTTTTTGTTTTTTTGTATAAGAAAAAATGTAACATAATAAAAAAGTTATAGGTAAAGAAAGATGCGATTATATTTCAGATATTTGGAAAATCTAAGTTCATTTGTTAACAAATAATATTGTATACCTACAAAATTGTTCACATATTTTCATTAAATGCCTGTTATATTACTCAATAATAATATTATGTAATTTGTTTTAATTATATAATGCAAAATCAATTACATAGCAATTTATTTGAAATGAATTTAAAAAGTAACAATTCATAAGCGAAAAGACTAATTTAATTGTAACAAAAAAAAAGTAATTTTCTTAAATTTTAACTCCCCTTGTTTCCCCCAACAACTCTGTACTGATATCCTAAAATACAATATAATACTTTAATATAATTCATAACCAAAATATTTTTGAGTCAACTTTAACCACTTGCAATCAAATACCGCTTATAAAAATGATTTGTAATGATTTTTTTTTTTATATACATACATAATAAAATATTTTATGTATTTTTGCATAAGTACAAGATCCTCACAAAATTTAGATTAATCAGTTTCTGTATGAATATACCATGTATGTACATACATCTATACACGTTTACAAATACATACATTGTATGATACATACACAAACATGAATCCATACCATATTAATATGTACATATATCTACAGCATGCTTAGAAAGTTGTATAGTGGCATATATTTATATTATTGGCAATTTTATCGCCAACGTCAACACAAATTTGTAAATTAATTGTAAAAGATCAACTTAAAAATAAAGCTCACATTAGAATTAAAAGTAAAAGTTTTACTTTTTTTAAATAAAATGTTAATTAACAAGTATAAGTACTAACCAAAAAGCAAATATACTTTATTCAATTCAAGAAAAATTAATTGTCTTTTATGCCTTTTTGATTTTTATTAATTTATGTATTTTTTTTATTTATTTCACACGTAAAAAAACAACATTTTCTTTTGATTTCTAAAAATATAAATATTATACAACCGAGTGGAATGAATGCACAAAAGAGACTAAACACATATTTTTGTTTGCTATAGTAAAATTAATTCTCATAAAAAAGTTTTTCATTTCTTTTCTTTTTTTGTTTAGCAATCTTGATTGATTCTTCTTGTTTCTTATTCAAAAAAATTTGTATTTATTGTCGTGCAACCGGTCAATTGTCCCCCCCCCCTACTTTTTTCAATCAGTTACTGTTTTATAGCCAAAGATTAATAAAATTTTCATTTTAATACTAATTTTAGCTAAGAGCTAAACTAGAATAGTTTTGCATTATTAAGTAAAAATTTATAAATAAAATATTTTATGTTTTATATTATGTACATAGAGTGTTAAACGCTTTGCATTATATCTACATAACTAGATGTGTTTGTTCACATACACGTTATTTTATGTGTAAATATATGCACATTATTTTAGTTGTAAATTTACACTATTCAAAAATTCAGAATGAAAGTGTAACATCCCTACTCTATATTTCTTTTAAAAGTTCATAAACATATGTAATGATTACTATATTGCTTTTATTAACAAATTTATTAATTAATTAAAAATGTAAATTAAAATTTTGAAATTTGTCCTTCGTAATTTTCTGATTTTTCATTCTTCCTTTGAAAATTTTTTTCTGCAAATAATTTTTTTTTCAATCGGCAAGCTTGACAAAGAACAGTGTTATCGTGTAAACCATATATACATAACAGTGTATGTATGTAATAAGATTTGAGAAAGCTATGAATGTACGATTTTGTGTAAATTTTACAATTAATTTTGACAATACTACTGTTAGGTGCTTTCTTTGTTGCAAAAAAATTAACTCCCAATTACAGCTTGGGGTATAAACACTATGGAATTAAGTCATTAACGTCAATGAAGTGAGCTACAAATGTCATTTTTTGGACTAACTATGACGGGGTTAAGGTACCTTAAAGCGCAATAGGAATGACATAGAGATAGAAGTATCAATATAAATGTCAAAAACTGAACGGTTTCAATCTTTTTTAAAGCAATGGGCACTGAGAAAACAAGCTACAAACGTCAAAACGTTTTTAACTTTTATAGCTAAAATTAATTAGCTAATTAAAACTATTGACTTTTCTGAGAAAAGCTTTTTTCATTTTAAAATCCACATTCTCTCAAACTCTTTTGACAACAAAAAAGTGACATTAAAAAAAAAAAAAAAAAGAAAAAAATTATGTTTATATTTTAAGCAAAAGATGCGTCAAAAACTCGAAAGGATTTTCTCGATTGTGATGAAATGTAATTTTAAATATTACCTTACTTTTGTAAATAAATGAATAAAATAAAAAATTAACGAAAAAATGAATGGCCAAAATTTTACATTGTCATCAATAAAGCAGGATATAATTGATAGTAATTTAAATGCTAAAGCAATTATTCAAGTAAGTTACCCAAGAAAAAATTTCAATACATATTCATATTTAGTGCACGTCAACATAAATATTTAAAAACTTCCTTGCAAATTTAAATAAAGAAAATCTTAATTGAAAATTTATACACATTTTCTTAGAAGTTTATTATAAAGAATGATTGAAAAAATAATAAGTTTGTACGCATTTTGTCCAGTCCATAATGTAGCTTTTCTGGTTGTATAGAAGTACATAGGTTTGTAGCTATGCACTTCGATAAACATTTACAATTAGTCAAAGTTCAAATTCTATGAACTCGGTTTCACTTTCTCAAATTAATAAAACTGAGGAATTTAAAAGACAATGTTATGTATATAAAAAAGGAAAAATTTTAAATTGTTGAAACACTAGATGACCAGAATTTTCATTGCTCATTTTATTACTTCTTTTATTTGCATTTTTGATAACTTCTTTTTAGTTAAGTATCATAATTTCATGACGCTACTTAACTAATTAATTGTTTTTTTTAAGGATATAAATTCTTTCCGTGGGACTCTTCCTGAATTAGAAGCTTTGAACGAAGCTGGAAGATTAAAACTTTCAGCGTTACGAAAATGTATAGAACGCCTGGATGATGTTTCTAAGGACGAAGGCAGTGCAGAATTGTCCAAGGAAGTTGATTTGCATCGAGAACAGTTCTCAAAAACTTTACAGGCCTTTCGCAAGGCAAATGTAGCAGCAATGATGGAAATAAAAAAAGCAAGTAGAGAAGAATTATTTTCATTGACCGGCAATTCTGAATTACGTCAACGTACTGAAATGGGTACTGGAAGTCAGCATAATCGTTTAGGTCTCGTTGCCCAACAAGACAATGTTACTGAGAAAATGCTATCGATAACACGTCATCTATCGGAAACTACACAAAAATCTGCTGCTACTTTAGACACATTGGTGTTATCTTCACAGACGGTAGAGGGAACAAGGAGTGAACTGCATAGTACTGCAGGAGCCATATCAAAATCAGGAAAACTTTTAAAGAAGTATGGTAGACGAGAGTGCACTGACAAGATTCTTTTATTGTTTGCCTTTATTTTCTTTTTGTTTGTGGTTTTTTACATTATGCAAAAGAGACTGTTTTAGTTTTAAGACAACGCTATAATGTTATATGAAAGCTATATTCTTAAAGAAATTGCATTTTTCCAAAAAAAAAAAAAAATGTAGCAATACAAAACGCTAGAAAATTGGAAAAAAATATGAATCAATTATATTCCCACATAATATTTCAACAATTGCAACTTTTGCTTCGTAATTTATTAGTAAATTTAAATGAATTAATCGAAATTAAAACTTAATGATTGTAATTCCAATTTATTTTTAATCTTAATAACTAGGTAGAAAATATAAAATGTTTTAATTACTATTTAAATTTTTATTTTATTTTTTAAAACGGTTTCTGTGATATAAGAACTTTATATTATTTTATATTCTTTATCAATAGTAATTACAATAATCCACAATTATGTACATATGTACACATAACACTTCTGATTGTGTGAGTTGCTTAAAATAAAGTCGAGGTAATGTACCGCCCTACCTTGTTTTAGCTTTTTCTAAACGTTTTAAAATACTTTTCTACAAAAAATTAACAAAATGCGGGATATTTAAAAATTTCAAATTGTATGGGTGAATATTAATATTTACTATGAGTGAATACTAGTATTTACTATTAACTAACTTTACAAATCTTGAAAAAACTTTAAACATGGAGAAACTGATGACGTCATCACCTTCTCCCATTTTTGTTCAAAATACCAGACCAAACGCTTGGCATAAAAAATCATTATAGGTCTTTCAAGTTTTATAAAGATTTAAAAACTATGTATGTACAATATAAATATGAGCAAAGTCTTTAGCGTACGCTACTTGGGCGATGTACGGTTAAAAAGGATTATCTAAAACGCGAACGCCAGTTGGGCTAGTAGATAAACCTTTTTAATTTGTTTGGCGCATCAAGAATATCATATTATAAATCACTTAGCCACTGGGTCTCTAGTAGCGTCAGTGAAAAGGTTTAAAATATAAAAAAAAATAAATTTTATAGAAATTAAAAAAAAATTCTTTAAACATGAACACATAACAAAAACAAATTCTATTTTCCATCAAAAAGAAATTGCACACAATCACATTGTGTATCGCAGTCAGATAAATAAGTCACAGATGGTTCTGTTTTTTTTTCAATCAATCGAGTGCCATGAAAATTTCCCCATCAAACTTTTGTCAAACAAATCCGCCAGCAATGTTTCAAGTGTAAATATACCCCAATAATGACAGCGACTCGGTGTCTCTTCAGTTAAATTGAAGTTTGAAGATTTTGGTTCGTTGTTAAAAAATACGTTACGTTTCAAATACAATGTACACACATATTTTTATAATGCACGTTTAAAATTAATCAGTCTGTTTAATGTTTAAAAAATGTTTGCAAATGGAAGTTTTTTGAAAAATCATAATAAAAATAATTTGAAAGCTATTATTGGTACTAAGGAACATGTTTTTGGAACATATCCCACAACTTTTAAAAGTAGCAATGATACAACAAAACATTTCGAATCTTTGCAAGTAAATGGACGAAAAATTTTTAACTTAGCAGAAAAATGGGATGGTCCTCCACCTTCTAACGCTTGTGAACTGTTCATAAAACGAATACCAAAACATTTTAATGAAAATTTCCTTTTGCCACATTTTCAACGGTTCGGAAAAATTTATGAGTTTCGGTTAATGATGGATTTTAATGAATTCAATCGTGGCTATGGATTTGTTAAGTATGCTAATGAAGAAGATGCAGCCAAAGCATTAGAAGTCATGAATCATTTTCTTATTCAACCGCACAAAACACTTGAAGTGCAGCGCTCACTTGATAAGTGTCGCTTATTTGTTTCAAATATACCAAAAGAACTTTCTGAACAAGAACTTGAATATGAATTTCGACAGATGTTTCCGAAAATTGAACGGGTCATAACACATAAACGTATAAGTGATATGAATCAAAATCGAGGTTTCTTGTTTTTAGATTTTCCGAATCATGAAGAAGCATTGATTGTAAAAAAGCAAACTACTCCAGGCCGTCTTCGAAAATGGGGTAGAGACCTAAAAATTGTATGGGCAAATCCTGAACATGTAACAAATCCGGAGCTACTCGAAAATGTAAAATTTTTATTTTTGATATACAAACGTATGTATAAAAATTAAAAACGAATTTTGTATTTTAGATTAAAAGTTTATTTATACGGAACGTTGATTTATCTGTTAAAAACAATGAACTTTACGCGGTTTTAATGTTGTATGTTAAAAGAACAGAAATTGTAAAAATATCCAGAGTTAGGGAATTTGCTTTTATAGAGTTTACATCCAGAGATGCAGCGGAAAAAATTTTACATCATGTTAATGGTCAATTGTTAAAAGGATATTCCCTTGTTGTTGAATGGGCTTTGCCATCAAATTCGTAAGTTTTTATTTATTCATATTCTATAAATTATCTAATAGAATTTTCGATTAAAGAAAATTAAAAAGTCACGATTTCGATGCAGTTTTAAGACTTAAATGCATTTCCAACTATTGGAGTATTCCAATTATCATTTTTGGCAGAGCCTTCACAAGCCATTTTCTTCAGTATGTTGCTGTAAGTATTTCAATTTGCAAGTTGTGGTCGGTTCTATGATACGACGATCAAGAAGAAAGCTTTAAATCAAATTTTTGATTTACAAAATACTTTTACAGATAATAATAAAGGAAAAAAACATTAGTCGTGTGTTTTTTATGGAAATAAATACAAAAGAGCTGACGGATATACAATCTAGAGCATGCGAAGTTGTTGTAGGTTTGATCGAAAAAGCGGGAGAACTTCCAAAATGCAATTTTGTTTTAAAAGTCTATAGTGACTCAGCATACATTGGTATGAAATACATTTTTTATTATTTTTAAAGAATAATGGGTAACAAGTTACGTACATAAATTTTGTGAAGCAAAATGTTTTGAAGTAGAAAATATTGCAATTCTTGTTTTTATTTATTTCAGTTGGTTTTATAACAAACTTGGAAAAGGTGCTATTTGTCAAGGCATACAACATACTTACTGACTTATTTTTGTATTGGAATGAAATAAAAGATTTGAGCGTGGCAGCGAATAATTTGTGTTACCATGATGAGAATCAAATAATTTCTCTGTACAATACAACACTTTCGTATGAACGGATATTGCCAATATCGTTATCACTACAGAATCGAATATTCGGCTGTATTGATCCGCTTTATAGGAAGAAACCTCCTTTAAGGCACAATTTAAATAATGTCCAAATTATTTTATGTTTAATCCACATTACAAGTCGCAACAATACTGTATTTCCTTACGAAGACGTTTTGTATAATTTTATAGACACAGGGGACGAAAATAAAAATGTTTCGATTCAATATAGTGGAATTAGTTTATTACCGCAAAACTTAATTGAAACTCAGAAAGATGAAATTATTAAATTTGTAATATTTTCCCCAACAGCAGAAAAATTGTATAATTAAAATTGATTATTAAAAAATTGTTAATATAATTTTTGTTCAAAAATGTAAAATGTACATGTAAGTATAAAAAGTTTCGTATAGTTATTTTTTCACTATTTTGAGTTTGGTAATTGAATTGTATTGTAATTTACAAAGCATTAAAAAAATTTGCTTATGTTTGATATTGAAAATAACGAATCGTATTTTGATATTATGAAAGATTATAAATAAAATTTTGTACTACAAATAAAAATTAAGAAATAGTTCATTTCAAAATTTTGCTGAAAATTTCTTTAAAAAATTCAAAACTTCTGCAAATATTCTTGACCTATTGATTATTCTTTAATATTGTTTGTTTTAAATTTAAAAATCTTTGAAAATTTCGGTATACTGTTAAAAGATTTAATTAAAATTATTTAAAAAAATATATTTTTTTGTTTCACGGGATGGTTTCGTTACTTAAAGTTAAGATCGTTTTACCTATAAGAAATTAAAAATTTGTAAATTTAAAAAAAAACCAAGACATTTTTTTAAATTTAATTAATTAATTTAATATGCGAGTAGACATACATATGTATATATGATAACTAAAAAAGAATCACAGATTAGGTTTATTTCCATATTTTTATAACTCCATCGCGGGAAGAAGAAACGATTAAATTTTGATGTTTTTCTGTTTTGCACATTAATAAATCAGTAATGCCATCGTTATGACTTGATGTTGGCATTTCGGGTCCACATCTTGGTTGTTCTTCAGAATTTCTAGTTGCTAATTCGGAATTGCCCAAACGTATAATTTTTTCTTGTATCACCCTACTACCATCAATTAAACCCGTACTGTAATAATTTTTCAAAATTAAATTCAAGGAAATTAGTTTTGTAAAAAGTTTTTACTCATAAACAAAAGATATATCTGTCATTTGGTCCTTGGAAGAGGGAACAATCAATGAAGAGTTTTCGGGGGAAACCAGGTCCCAGTACCGTATTCTTTGATCTGAGCTACCCGTTAAAATGAACGGACATTCATCTACCACACCTGTTAAAATTCCACAACTTGTTGATGGATTATTCTACAACAAAATACAAAAAATTTTAAATAAAAAAACTTTATTATCAAATTTTTATTTGAAACTTACCATACTAGTGTTTGAAAGAACTGGAGCAGCACTCGCCCATAAAACAGTTTGCCTGTGGCCGGTTTCAATATTCCAAATTGAAACCTCATTATTCGATTGTGAAGCTGATATTAGACATGAGGGTTCTGTTGGATGGCAAGTAATTTTTCTTATCCAAGAATCGGAAGGATGCCGTATTTCTGCTATAGGTAAGCGAAATCTCAAGTCCCAACATATATGTTTCCCCCCACTTGTACCAGCAGCTAACCAGGACCCGCTAGGATCTGCGCAAATTGTTGTAATAACTCCATGTTTCAATTCATTTTGAAGTTTCCACACACTGTCTTGCATTCTCATATCCCAAGCTATTATATTTCCATACAATGTGGCGAACACAATCAAACTAGAGCAATTTTGTTCAAAAGGTTGCATGTCAACAATCGAGCCTTCGTCATGTCCACTATAACGTTTATTAAATATCATTTGGAATAGCTTGATCTTGAATTTTTTTTTTATTTTTTTTACTTACTTTTTGTTTTCGTCTAAATAGATAGCTGTTTGTAAAGCCATTTTAGATGAATTTCTATCTATTCGTAAAATTACAAGACTTGAATCTTTTCCACCCACTGCAAGGGATTGTCCACCATCACATGGTGCTATTGAATATACGGGTGTTTTTGCTAAATACATTTGTCTTGATTTATTGATTGTTTGATTTCCATTTAATTTGTTGCAATCCCAGAGTCGCACAGTACCATCAATACTTCCACTAGCAAATAAAGTTCCAGGCTTCAATGCAACTATTTTGGTAACAGAGGCGCTATGTTCATGTAAATGAGCAACCAAGCTTCCATTCATACGCCAACCTGATGGAATTGGAGAACAAAATCTAGGAGTGTCATATTCTTGATTTGATGCTAAAGCTGAGTATCGGGATTTAAATTTAGTCTTTAATTTATCCAGTTGTTGGCGGCATTCTGAAGAATGTTCTAAATTCAAACAAAACTAAACGTTAATTTAGTCGAAAAACTAAAAAATTGTGTTACCTTGCCAAAAATTTCTTTCCGGTAAACTATATTCGAATAGTGCAGAATTGGGGGTTATAACACATTGATTAGGTGGAGCTGCTTGATTGTTCAAATAAATAGATTCATGAGATAGTGACGGAGGTATACTTGCCCGATGCTCGTCAATGTGTTGCCAGTTAAGGTTTGTATGAGGAGCAATATTATCATTCCCACTATCGGGAACTCTAAGTTTGCGTGCAATACCGTCGTTCTGCAACCATTTTTCGCCGCGCAAAGGAAATTCATGGCAATTTATATTTTTCCGACGTAAATTTATTTGGCCATTTTTTGCATGTTTTGATTCAATATTTTTATATTTATTTAGTTTTATTAAAAATGTTTGCATAGATAATAGTTGAAGTTCTACAAATTCTGTAAGGCCTTCGGAGCTCAAGCGTCGAAAAAGCTTAAAATATAATAGTTTAATAACACAAAAATTTATGTTCTAATTCTCACGTTTTTTATTGCTGTATTCATTTCACCGTATTCTGGTGTGCTGCCAGATGGAATTTGGTTTCGGATATCTTTCCTTTCTTCCAACACTTTGAAAAGGGTATTTATATCGTTAAATCTTAAAATCAGAAAAGTTTAATAAAAAATGGTTATCATGTATTTAAAATGATCAATGTATGTACTTTACAACACTATCAAAAATTCTTCTAGGTACAGCAGGATTGAGACAATCCAAAATTATTTCGGGCTTTTCAACTTGAATTAGCGGAGTTTTTATAAAATTTGTTATTACAGGCATTATTCTGCATTGAACATCAATTGAAGATAACTTCCGGGCAGTGGTTGAAATTAATCCACACATCTCATGCCGTATCCACAAATTTGGATGGTTTAAATAGCAGGCGCTTTCTGAAATAAACTCTATTATGGCATGCTTTTGTAGGTGACCCATATCAATCAAAGCTGTTGTGGTTCTTATTGCTTTCGCAATTACAAATTCTTCACTGTCTGTTAAGCCCTTTAATTAAAAAAAAAAATTGAAGTAAGATTATTGAATAAAAACTTTTAATATAATAATAAGTATAATACTTGTTGAAGAAGTGGAATAATTATGTCCGATGATTGCCATCCTACATATCCAACTACTCCAACAATACTTTCGAAAAAGGATCCACGCAAATGTTTATCTTCTTTGTCATTAAGAAATGTAATGATGTGTGATAATATGACATCGTTTGCTGCCATATTTATGAGGTTTTTAATATTTCCTTTTTCTTATTTCAAAAACATATACCTTTCTGTTTGCCAAAAAATGCACACAAATCACAAATTCCTGATTCTATTAAAGTTTGTTTAACAACGGACTGCTGGTCAGTTAATAAACTTAGAACTGTTTGTTGGATAATTTCGTGCAAAGCATTAAGTTCGGCTTCATATCGTTGTGTTGATAAGTCGTTAGGAGCATTTCTTTGTGTTTCTTCTAAGAAATAAACAGCTGTCTTTGCCAATTTCGCTGTAGTCAAAAATTTATGTGAGTTTTCCAAATTTCAAAGAAAATTTTTACATTTACCTATATTTCTGGCATACGAAACTCTCACAATAGTAGAAGGATCCGCAGATAACGATGCAATAGCGGGTAATATATACTCTGGAAAAATATTAGCATCACTTCTTGGTATATCTTTTACCATGCTCAAACAATTTGTCAAAGTATCCACCGCTTGCGCTTGAACTAATGATGAAGAATCTTGTGCTAAGTGAAGCTGTACAAAATAGGACATGAAAGTGTAAATTTAACAAGTAGTTTAAATTCTTACAATATACGGCAAAATTCTATCTAAAATAGTTTCTGAAATTGTGAACTCTGATAATTTTTGCAGTATCTCAAGACAACAAATTTTAGTGTGACAATGATTAAGACCTCTTATGCACGATGTTACAACTGTTATGATTAATATCAAGCCATCATGTTCAGGAATACAATAACAAGTTTCCTGTGCATTTTTATTATTTTTAATTGATTCTCTTTTTAGTTTTGATTGATTAGTTAAAACTTGAACGCAATGATCAATATCAGAGTAAAGCCGTAATATTTTATCGTCTGCTGACATTATTGGAAGTGAAGAAAACATTTGCAAATAAGACTGCAAAAAGGAGTAAAAGTATTCTGGAAATAAATTTCCTCTTTCTTGATCTAAGTAAACTTCCGCACTTCTTCGTTCTTTTGGATTTAAATGTAACATTGAAGACAGCAGACTTCGCAGATTTTCATTTTCGATTCTTTGAAGATGTTTTTTTACTAAATCCTTTTCACCTTTACTGTAAGCTAACAACTGAGAAAATTCAAATGGTGCAGTTCCCTCTGTCCAAAGTTCCAGAAGGGCACATCTAAAAAATTTTTTAATTTTGTAATAGTTTACCTGTTGAATATTTTAAATTACCCCGCCGAAAAAATATCCATTTCTGGTAGTAAAGCTCCTGAATGATAAGGACCAGTTCTAACTAGTGAACCAGATGGTAATAGTATTGAATCAGTTACCAGTGGCATATCTTTGTCTTGTGCAACATCTATAGTTTTTACAAATCTAGATAAAATATAAAGCTTTACATTAATTAAAAATTAAAAACTATATAAAAATTTATTGCTTAAATTATTTTATAAATAAAAATACCTTTCTGGTGCTATGTAACAAGTTCTTCTCCGACTAGTGTCAAAAAAATAAGTGTAATCTGCCGGATTGTCTTCAGGCAGATAAGTTGGCTTAAAGGATGCAAAGTCGGAAAGCAATATCCAATTCCAAGATGTTATCAATATGTTTTCTAACTAAAAATAATAATTTTTAAACAAAAAAATTTTAATAACTAAATAGGTATTTTCGTTACTTTTATATCACCGTGACATATTTTCTGTTTATGACATTGATTTAGAGCACAAAGAATTTGGAAAGTAATCCACTTTTTTTCCAATATTGATAAAAAAGGTCTTGTTGAAACTCTGTCGTATAAGCTATGTTTTACATATTCTCTCATAATGTATCCTGCTTTATCTGTTAACTGAACGTAAATATTATTAGCAATCTAAAAGTTCATACATATTTTAATTTAGTTACCTCGATTCTTTGAAAAGGTAAGCAATTCACAGCATTAGCAAGAGTTTTTTTTATTAGCTCTATTCGTTTTTTATGCTGTTCCAGTGGAAGAGAAGGATCATGAATGACAAAAACTTTTACAACTGCCAACCCTTCAGAACATTTTGCTCTTGCTACTTTAAAAAACCTAGTGCTTCCCATACTGCGAATTGCAAAAAAAGCAAATATGTTATTGTACAAAGGATTTAACTACATAGTGTGGGAACAATCTTTATTTAAATTGCAATCTAATCTAAATATGTATGTATATGCATATGTATATAGCATGTATCACCTACCTAGAATCAAATAATAGTTCATTTCCAAAAGTCCCTGGAAAATAATGTTCTACTGGATATATTTCTGGAGGCGCAATGCCAACTAGCTGGTTTCCCATTTTAGATTATTTTTTTAAACACGAAAAAAATTTTTTATAACTTTTTGAACTATGCTGGAAAAACAATACAAAAATACAACATAATAATGTCAATATTAAATTTTGCTTGTTTGTTTATTTAACAATTAAATGTCAAATTTTTGACATTTAATTTGAACTGAAATCTGTGCTGCAAACCATTTATATTTGACTTTGACTCAGTGGTGTCAAATTTAAATTGTTTTGAAATAATTTTATTTCTTTTTATTTTTTCCCAGTTTTTTTTAAATTTTTCTGCATATTTCTATTTTATATTAATTTTATAGAAAAACATTTTATTGAATACTATATACCAAAACATATAACATTCTATGTAATATTAATGCTTTTTTGTATATATGTATATAGAACATAAAAAATTTAGATTTTTCTCTTGACTAGTACTTTTTAAAACAATAGCAATGACACACCTTTCAGTTCTGGCTTTTAGAACGACCGAATTGTATTTTTGAGTTCTTTCATAAATTCAGGAGGAAAATTTGAAGGAAATTATATGGAACAGGATACAAGACTCGATACAAGACAGAATTAAGGCAGGAATCTGATGTTACTTTGCAAATAAGAAATTAATTCAATCAAAATTGCTATCGCGACAAGTTAAAATTCTAATTTACAAAACAATTATTCGTCCGGTAGTAACTTATGTCTGCGAAGCATGGACCCTGAATCAAATAGATAAAAATAATTTAAGAATATTTGAAAGAAAGATGTTAAGAAAAATATTTAGGCCCATAATTCTAGAAAACAGCGAATATAGGAAAAGAATAAATGATGAACTTAACGAATTAAAGAGGATATAATAAGGTTTAGTAAGCCGCAGCGTTTAAAGTAGGCAGGCCAAGTAATTCGAATGGACGAACATAGAATTTGGCTTTGTGGCCAAATTCTGCGAGCAACATCTATTTTAAATAGACACAGAAGACCCAGAAGGTGATGGGAACAAAATATTGAAAATGATACCGCAAAACTAACAATCATAAAGTGGAAAACAACAGCAAAGGATCGTGATAGTTGGAGGTAGATCGTAAAGAAGGTCAAAGTTTACCTCGAATTATAGAGCCAAAAGAAGAAGAAGTTATGGAACAGGAAAGTTTTTAACATACACGCAAGCTTAAGGAGTACATATGTATGTACGTATTTCTGCAAATTACAACGATGTTATAAAAATTCAATGAGTCAGATTCTTTCACAATCAAAGTTTATTATTATTTCTTTTTAAAGTACCTACCTACATAAAGAAGCCATTATTGCAAGCTATAAACTGTATATTTTAACAAATTTAGTAATCATGCTAATTTAGAAATTAAATTTAACAAAAATTTCGTCCTAATGGTTAATGAATTTTCGAATTGCAGTAATTTTTTACAGTATATATTTGAAGAACATTTAAGTAAAAGTTCTATATTTTTATTTATGTAAACACCTGGAACCTCATTTCGTAATTTACTTTTAACATAATTTTAAAAGATAACATAATGTTATAACAAAATGTTGAAATATTTACTTTATATACTTACATAGTATGTAGGAATGTTTAAGTAATTTTTTTTTTTGTAGTAGTTCTTGTAGATATGAACAAGTGTATTTTAACATAATAATATTTTTCCTCATTTAATTTCAAATTATTTTTACACGTTTAATGATATTTTTGTTCTCGATCAGCATTTTTTGGTTAATTTAATGAAAATGTGTTTGTATTCAAATGTAATTTTAAACGAAAATTATAAATGCATTTGCAAATTTTTTTTTTGATTGCAACTAAATATGCAAGCGCACATACCAGTATTAATTACAAAATTAAAGAAAAGAGCAAAAAATATATGGAAAAAAATCTTTAAAAAGACCACAATTTTATTCAGTGTTTAGTATCCTATTGGAGAATTACTTGCATATTAATTATTCATTTGAAGAGTGAAACAATGGGAAAATTGAACGCTACCTTTTGTGTTTTTTTAATTGTTGCCGTTTCTACAGTCCTTTCGGTAAATATATAAATATTTTTCTAGAAATTTTAAGTATTTATAATTTTAAATAATTTTCAAGGCAAACAATAGAAACAATAAAATAGAATTGGATATGTTTTCGAGACCATTTTATGAAAAAGTTGAAAATCGTTTAAATACTGCAGCTCTTACACCAGAACAAAAAGAAAACGCAAAAGAAATCCTCCGTAAAACTAAAGAAAATTTATATCAGTGTGAGCAATCATATAAACCTGATCTTGAGAATAATACAAATTTTAGAGCTTGTGCAGGAAGATCTATTGGTTTAGCAATGTCTCAATTCGGATATCTTGAAATGATAAGTAGACCTAATTTCAGAGAAAATAAAAGAAATAATCATCATGAATAAAATTTAACAAAATTGTAATAAGTATGTATGTAAAAGAACAACTCTTAACAAAGTATAAATATAAAGTAAGCATTCAAAATATATTATTAATTTAATTTGGCTTTATTTTAGTGATTAATATTTAAAAAAAGGTTATTTTGAAAAAGAATCTGGAATACTAGAAGTGTAGAGAAAGATATTTAAGAAAAAAATGCAGAAAATTCTATTATCGTAAAATTTTAAAACTATTCTTATAAATGAAAAATTCTACTTTGAAATGCATTTTTGTGTTCTTCATGAATTATGAAGCTCTGTTATTTCCATCATCAGTGAGGCTACAAATTTAAATAAATTTTAAATGCACTAATTTTGATTTCTAGAAGAGCAGTAATAATTAATATGTAATTACTTAGAAATGAACTGAAAACATTGTTGTGATTCACTGTTTCATATTCGTTTCTATTGGATCATCAAATTTTTTCGGATTTCTGAAAATCTAAAAAACTGATGTATTTAAATGAATAACACGTCCCAATTTATACTTAACAGAAAAACAAGTTTTTGGTAGAAATGTGGTTTATAAAAGCATTTCAAACATTAAGAAAAATCAACATATTTTATTTAGAAAGTAAACATAATATGTAAGCTAATAAGCAATTTATTTCAAGCTGAAACCAGAATCTTGAACTCAGAATCTAGAATCTGGAATCAAAATTTTTATAGTAGGTAGCACTGCACTAAAATCTCTCGGCTGGTCTAGCATGAATTAACACTCATAAAATAAAAATTTCAGGGTTAGAATTACGCCTAGTTGCCAAATCCTAAGCATGCTTACGTTAAATAAAAGATATTTGTTTGCCAGATTAGTTCTTTTTGTTTGTGTGTTTTATTATCCAGCTTATATTAACAGCTTCAATTAATTAATTCCCTTTTTTCTCCCTGTACTTAGAGTGAACTTTTACTATTCAAATTAAATCATCGTTTAAATGAATTGATTTAAATAGCATAGGTAGTTCATATTTTAACAAGCATTGCTCCCTTTAGTAATTAAGATGATCTGAATAATTTTTTTATGATTAAGGTTTAACCATTATTAAGTCTTAAATGAAAAAAATATTTAAATAACAGCAATTATTATCATCATATAATGTTGCATATATTTAGGAGGAATGTTGGAGTGATTATTTTAGTACAAGTTGCACAGATAATTTTAATGATAAATTTTAAATGATTTTCTGTTTGAAATGTAAGAATATACAAGATGTTTTGGCAACAAGTTAGGAGCCATATATTTCGGTTCCGGATAGAGGATCGAAAATGAGTAAAATTTTTGCTCGGAACATAATGTTAAATTGGAACCGTTTTCCAGCAAAATTTAGCTAAATTTTAACATACCGAATTTCGCTTATAGCTTCCGTTCCAGAAAAGATAGAAGCTTCAAAGTTTTTGAAAAGACTATTAGAAGGCTTCAAATAAAAAATCGCGCATTATTAGGTTTTACAGGATTTTTTTCGAAAATATGGACATATAGAAAATTTCAATTTTCTTTATTTTTTATTTTATTACTTTTTATTGCTCCGACAATTTCTCATGAAAGTTTTTGGAAACTTCCAAAATTCTCTTACAAAGCTCAATTTTTTCCAGCTGTTTAAGCTTTAATTTAATTTATTAGACATTTTAATGGTATAAGACTACTCATACAATCTCTATAAAACTGTTATTGTAGTACTGCTTTTATAAATCGATGAAGCTTATAGGATTAAAGAAATAAGTAACCGAACCGATCAATTTGTAGTATGTAAGGAAAAATAACTTGGAAAGAGGAAAGTAAAAGATAATTTATTCTAATATAATTAGAAAATCAACCTGCATAAGTTTATTAAAAATCGAGATTCGTTCACGTAAGTAATTTTATTTAAAACTTTGAAGAGCTACGTACAAAATTTATTTGATAAAAATTTCCCATGGAGCAATATTGTTTCTACTAATAAGATTTATTATATAATATTTTAATAGATACAATGTTAAAACTGTAATAATTTTAAACATTTTTAAACAACAATAATTTAAAAGAGTAATAATAATAATAAGTGTTTCATTTGGGATTTTAGACCGGAAGTAACATAGTGTTATGTTAAAGTTGAATTGATATAATCAACTTTTAATGCATCTAATGAATATTATATAAACCTTTGAGTATACTAAATTGTTACACACTAATATTGTATATAATTTAATGAATATTAAATGAAATTGAACTAAATTAAAAATATAGAGGCACATAGCTCTGAACATTATTTTTATATTGTATTTGGATTTATATTTTCATTTGTATATAAAAATAATTATTTACACAAATACGTATATACAACCATAACTATGTACACTAAAATTAAGAAATCTTATATAATAATTTTATTCTTAAAGTTTTTGCTTTTATAAAAGAATGTTGTTACCATATGACGATTTTTATAATGTTAACATAGACTAAAATTTTTGTCAAATTTTGTTTTCAAACTCTTAATAAACTGGAAATACAAGTGTAGGAAATACAATCTAAAACTAAATGTCTAAAACGTGTGGTATTAAGAAGAGTTTGAATTTGTAGGCAAAAATTTACAATAATTCCACTGATACCCAAACTGAAGAGTTTGTTGTATTTTAGAGGCAAAATATCATTATGCAACCTTTGTGTATTATACAATTTTTATTAACAAATTCCAGAAGGGCTTCTTTAATGAGAATTTTTAATTAAACACGTGAAAATATGAAATTTAAAATGTTCTATAATTGAATTTTATAATAAAAATTTACTAAAGGTGGCAATTTCGTTAAATGTTTTGTGAATGTGTATGTAGTAATTTTATTATATACATAATAAGATTTACAAGTATAAAGTTATTTTAATAAATCTTCAACAGTAATTAAAATTTAACTACCTTAACCTTTTCAAAATGTTTTGTACAATTTTTCCCTTCCAAGATTATTCCTATAAAATGATGCTCTAAAGATATATGTATATATGTAGATATAAATAGTAGTAGAGTCGAAAATTTTTTATTGGATAACGTTTGACCCTTAATTAGAAAATTTATTGTTGGAATTTTTTTCAAATTCCGTTGTTATATTTAAAAATATAAAGAAAAATTCTTAAATATTTTAATTTTTTTTTTTTACTTTAATGTTTTCGGCAGAGAAAATAATTTAGTCAAGTTCTAAAACTCGATTGAATTAGTAGCAAAAAATTGAAATTTCGTGATATTAAATAAAATATTTAAAAATGAAAATATTTCAACTAAGTTTACTCTTGATTGCTGTGTTGTCCGTTAATAGTCAATATAGTCAACCGCAAGTAAGAGGAAATACAGCTTTTAGAAGAATTTCTGATCAATTGGGTCGTCCTATATATAATTTTTTTCGAAGATGGTTTTGGATAGCAACCGGTAGTATACGAGATTTAGAAGAAGAAAACCGAAAGTTAGAGGTATTTCATTGTAGTACAGGAATAAGAATGGAAAAATGATCTAACTCGCATTTGAAATTTTATATATCTAGAACCTACAGTTTAATAAATTCTTATTCGCATATTAATATAAGAGAACTTAATATTTATGTAATTTATATTTTGTTTATTTAATTTTCGATCACCCTCTTGAAAGTATTCGGAAATTAAAATATCTTCAAATTTTAATATAAAATTTTTTTTTTTTCAAATTTAGATAACACAACATGCTTTAGAAAAAATCCGTCCAGAATATGTTGATAAATTTTTTTGTGATATAGATGGACCGGGAAAACGAAGTGATGCTGTTCCAACAAGAGTCCATCAATTACGACCAGGTGATATAGATATAATTGGAGCTATGGGTGATTCACTTTCATCAGCAAATGGTGGATATTCAACACAACCTTTGCATCTCGCTAATGAATTTCGTTCGATTGCATGGTCGGGTGGTGGTAAAGGAACATATTTTACACATGTTACCTTACCAAATATTTTAAAAATGTTCAATCCAAAATTATATGGTTATTCAACTGGTGATGGTTTAACAATTGATAAAAGTTCTAAATTTAATTTGGCTGAACCGATGACAATGTCACCTGATCTATTATTTCAAGCTAAAGTTTTAATTAATCGAATGAGAAATGATGGAAAAGTTGATTTTAAGAATCATTGGAAAATGATAACAATATTTATTGGAAATAATGATTTTTGTTCAGATTCATGTCATTATGAGAGTTATGAAAAATGGGTTGATTTACATGAAAAAGAATTAATAAAAACATTACGTTATTTAAGGGATCATGTACCAAGATTAATTGTCAATGTAGTAGGTTTACCTGATTATACGAATTTGTTTAAAATAACAAATTCTCCGATTAGATGTTATGTTATTTATAGAGCTGGATGTCATTGTTTATTTCAACCACATATGACAGTTGAAAAATTGGGTTATGTTAAAAGAGGTGTTGATTTATGGAATGAAAGAGACAAGAAGATTTCGAATATGGAAGAATTTCATACAAATGTAAATTGAAATTTAAATATTAATTTATTATATAGGTTGAAATTCATGTGAAAAATTTCAGGATTTTGCTGCTATTTATCAACCCTTTATGACAAATGTTACTTATTTTGTGAATGAGAAAGAAGGTATAGCCGATTTAAGGTATATGGCATTTGATTGTTTCCATTTTAGTCAATTGGGACATGCAATGGGTATAAAGAAATTCTGTTTAATTTCATTCTAAATGTGCTATTTATTTAATTTTCATTTTTTATTTTAAAAGCTGCTTTAGGACTATGGCAAAATTTAATGGAGCCTAAATCAAATAAATCAGATTATTGGAATCCTAATTTAAATAAAGTTTTCAAATTGAAGTGTCCCACCGAAGAATTCCCATATATAAGAGTTGATTAATAATAATTCAAGTGTAGTAAAAATTTTTTTTCTAAATTATTGTTTTGTTATTATTTGATATAGAGGATTAATTGTTGTTAATTATGGTTGTAATTCTAAAAGAAACATGGTTATTTAAAATTCTAACAGCTGTTTTAAAATTTTGTTTGTTAAAAGTAACAATCAAAATAATTTCTGTATAGCTATAATAATATTTTGTTTTAAATTTAAAAATTAATATTATGTTCAGTTACCAATTTTACCATTAATTTTATTTTACCAAAATTTGCAATTTAATTTTTATACAATACTCAAATATTTTAAAATTGTTTTTTAGCAATTATGTGTGTGCAATAAAATCCATTAATAATAGTTTTTTAAATAAATTAAAATAAAATTTTTAATAAATTGTTTTCTTGTTTTCCTGTTTTACCTTAATTTTTTTGTTTTGAATTTAACCACAAAATATTTGTTATATTCATTGTTAAAGTAAATATTTTGTTTTTTTGTAAATTTGTCAAAACATTATGTTTTCCCTCTTATTTAATTTGTGGTTTCATTAAATATTTTGGAAAGTACAAATATATGGACTAAAAATGTTGTATTTTGGATATAAAAATTAGAACCGACTAACTCTACTTAGTATAAAATTCAAAAAATTTCAATATTTCAGAAATTTAGAAATTATAATTTTCTGCATTATTAAAAAAATATATTTAAATTTAAACTTTACAAAATAAAAAATTGAAAATTCGGAAATTAAATAGAACTCACAAGTCTAATGTCAATAATTTGTTCAAATTTTGTTCCAAATAAAAAATTATCAAAAATCGTCAAATATAGCTTTAATATAAAGATTTAGCTGTACATTTATGTTTATTAAAACACGTGAGATATTCTTAGAAGAAAGATGAGGAGCTTTTATTCAATTTGAACAATGGAATATAAAATTCTTATAAAACATTACAGTACCAGTAAAACTACACCCTTTCTAATTAATTTAAAGAATATTCGTCTAACGTATATGAAAAATTATGTTCGTCTATAAATAACAAACTTAATTAAGGTGATCCAATTGAAGTGAGAAAAACTAAACTCAAAAAAATTAAGAAAAATAATTAAATTCAAAAAATTGGAAAATATACTGAATTTTCGGAAATCTAATTATGTTTAAAAGAATTCTTAAAAGGAAATATAACAGATTTTCTAATTGAAATTAACATTGAAACATTTTACAAATTTTATTTTACATACATATAATTATCTATATGTACGTCACATATATTATCGGACATATGCGAGAACAATGACATAAGTTAAAAATGCAGAGCCGAAAACTTGCTTTTATTACTGTTATATTTTAATATATATGTATAAAGCTTTTTTGTAACAAAATGATACAGAATATTTGTTCATATACTTGTAGAATAGTTCTATACCGACGTAGCATTCGATACACTCTTCTTCGCCTTCGATAGCAATTAACTTTCAGCTATAAATACTTTAAATTCCGGAAGTCGAAATTATATATTTGAATTTTGTCGTTATTGTTCCCAATGTGTGTTATTTGCATCTAGTCTTTTAATTTTTTCAAAAAAAATTTTTCAATTTTAAAAACTTGATTTATTGAAAACTATATTAATTTTTACTTGTGCATTTTTTCCTATAATAGCTGAAGAATGCATTATAATAAAAAATTAATTATAACAAATTAATTTTTTTTCTTCTTCTGCTTATTTTTCTATATTTTGTTATTATTAATTCAATATTGTATTTAAGTTAATTAGAAATTGTATATATACATAGTAATTATGTAAACTATTATCATTGAAACATGAAATTAGAGTATTTTAATATTAAATTAATAAAATATTTTGAAAATATATTAGTTGTATATACATGTTATTTTATAGATATGCATACATAGTATATTATATCCTTTCCATATACCTAATATAACATTTAAATATTAAATGCAATTGGCTATACGTTTAATAGAAAGTATACGAAAAATAATTTGTTATTTTTAATATTATTTTATTCAAATTATTCATGTAATTTCTAATATTTAATTATTGCTTAATAATTCCGACAATATTTATCAAAAAATTCCAGTCCAATTCTTATACATATTATATTGCATGATTTTGTAAAATTCTCTATTTTTATTATTGCTACACTTAGCTACATAGCTATATGTAATATTAATATAAAAAATTATAAAAATTTTTTTTTTTGGTAAAATTACACAATTAATTTCATTTTTAATTTCTTTCAAATATATACATATATATATATTTGAATATATCATGTAACCATATGTAACAATAATAATATGCACTTATTTTTTTATTACAAACTGTTATACACATACATTTAATATGATATATTAGAATGTATAGAAATTTTATTCAATATTTATATTACTACATACTGCTAAATATTTTTAAATATAATTGTATATATATAACATAATTTTATATGCGTATATATAGATCTGAAGTACCCACATATTATTATTGTAGTTACAAAAAAAAATATATTCTTTTAAAATGATTATAGGAAATTTTCTTAATTGTAAATTAGTTTGTTTACATACTTTTGCCAAAATGTTGTGGAAATGTTTTATAATTAACGCAACATGTGTGTGCTTTTCCTTCATGCATATACATACATGTGTACATATACACATATACTATGTAAATCTCTGAATATAGTTTTATTCATATGCGTATAGTTTAAAATATAAATGAAAATTTCTTTATAAAATGAATTATGATAATTTTTCTTTTTTCGCATACAAATCTATATTTATTTAAGGAAAATTTCAAACTGTAAGCATATTATATAAAAATATATTTATAAAAGAGAAAAATCTCTTATACTATAAATACTATGGTGGATTAAAATTAAATTTATTTTTTTTTCTTGTTTTGCTCATTGGATAGCAAGTATGTACATGTGTGCATTTTTAATGTGTATAATGATATCATATAGAGAAAAATGGAAAAACAAAGAAGAGAACAAAAAAAAATTTAAAAATTTTTAATTCCATTTTCCTATTGATTTATTTTTTTCATATTATCTATGTATGTATGTATGCTTGTATGAACGTCTAATTTTAAAAGCGGCTATTTACGAAAATTGCAATATTGTGGTTAATATTGCATGTCTTTTTATTGCGACAAAAAAAAAAAAATTTATTTAATATTTACGAATTTTAATTTTTCAAGAATATTCAAGAAAATTTTAATATTACATAAAAAATTTTTATTTCAATTAATAAATTAAACTTTGCCATTTAATTTCGGGTAAATATTGGAATAAGGGCTGTATTTTAAGATGGACCATTCGGAGGATTTAATTTTTTTAACGATTTTTTTGCAGACATCAATCAGAATACACCATTAACATGTTTAATATTATTTTTTAATGCAGCAATTAGTTCCGAGCAGTTCAATAAATATAATTTAGGGGTTTCAAATCACATTAAAGTAATAGCGACTAAATCACTGTTTCTAAAAATAAAATTAATATCTTATACAATACATTTTTCTATGAAGAGGGCGAATCTTTAAAATTATGTGTATTAGTTTAAACTTTTATTCAGAGATAAGGCGCTTTCAATATATTGAAGAAACCGAGAAAAAATAGAGTTAGCCATATTAACTCTGTAATACCCGTGCGAATTTTTAATCCTATTGGCGAATTTATAATACTCTCCGAAAATACGTTTGCACGGAAATGTTAGTTTCTGGTATTACCATTTACATACTCAACTAGTTTCTAAGATATAAACCAAACAACTATTGAAGTTGAATCAAATAGAGTTAATTCAGAGTTAAAGTAACTGTAACAAATTGCTTGAGCTTGTTCTTTTCGGTTATTAGAATTGAAATTAGATAAATTTTGGGTAATAAATTTGATAAAATTATATTTTTTTTTGGATTTTCGGATATTTTACTTAATTCACACGTTTTTATAGTTTTGAGGTAACCTTAAGTTCTTGAGCATTTTCAGCATAATTCTTATTTGGCATTTATAAAATTTAGTCATTCATAGCAATACATTATGCCTTATATATAAGATATATATATGCTTATATACATTATATACTTATATATAATTTTCTACATTATAATAAAGAGTTTTCGAACACACAACATTATTTTATATTATTATTATATTTAAAAACTGCATTGCTTGAGGCGAAAATTTTTTTTATATATAAATCGAAGATATGGGAGGATAAAAAATTGCATTCCATGTATAATATTTTTTTTTTTTACAAAAAATATATGAGAATATTGTTTTTCATATAAATTTTATATTTTCTTTTTTCTTTTTTTTATAAGTATACACTTTTTTAATTATACATACAACTTAATGATACAGAATATTATTTTCCCAATATGTATGTATGTATGTATAAGCATTAAGGAAGTTTTACGTATTGAAAGTCCATTAAAGTTGTAAATATTTTCTGTTTTCACTTTTGAAATATTGAAAATTCATTAATTGAGGAAATGATAAATTTTCTCGATCTCTTTAAATATTAACTTAATTTTTTTTTTTTTGAGTGATATATTTTTCACTCAAAAATAAAAAATTTAAGTAAAATTTATTAAATTTAATTTTAAAATTTAAATGAAATTTTCTGAACAAAAAAAAATACGAATTTTGTACGAGTTTCTATATAAGTATCTTAAAATTTACCTTATAAAATTTTTTTATAAAACGAAAAAAATTGAGTTAATCATATCAACTCTGTGATAACCGTACGAACTTTTTAGCTTATTGGTGAATTTATAACACCCTTTGAACTAGTACATTCACATGGAAATGATAGTTGTCGTATTACGATATTAATTTATGCAAAAGTAATGCAGTACTGTAATTTCATTAGTTTACCACAGGAAATGAAGAAATTTAGCGATCGCTGCCATACATAATAGCTCCAATAATGTACTTGTTTGCGATACTATAACTTCAAGTATAAACTTCGATATTATAACTTCAAA